GTGAATTTGGTTTGAAAAGTGGTGAATTCAAAGTGAAAATGGTATATGCTGCGGTCTCTGGTTCACTGATCGTGTCTTCGCGTCATCCGCTGCTAACACAATCTAGAAGCGAAAAAAAGCAAAAAACGCGTGTAATAAGTGAACTGTTATCAAAAACAGCCTGTGAGTTTTGATGGGCGACACAACCACGGAGGGTCAGGACTGCCACTTATCAGATCCAGGGCACCTTCGTTACTTCAGTGAAGCCGCAATGGGCAGTCTCAGAGAGTGAGGACCACACTATTCACAAGGAAGGACGCCTTCAAATTCCTTGACCACGGGGACTGTCTTTAAGTCATGTTCTGTAACTGACTTGGAACAGTTAAGGAGAGCAACAACTGGCGTTTCCAAGGAAGCCTACTATGGGCTTCTATTCCCGTGCGCCGACTCATAGATAGAAGAGGCTCGGTTGCTTTTGAAATTTGGGTAAGCATGCGGCGAATAGGGACACGGAGACGTCAGTGCCTACTCGAAGAGGAGACAGCCGCGGAAAGGTTGCACTACCGATGAAAGTGGATACCTATATACAGGGGGGGGGGCAAAAAACACTTTGGCCTAGTCACATATGAGTAAAGTTTTCGCCGCCCAGATAGAAGACTCACGAGTACCAATGCGAAAGATACCCGAGATGTCCCTAGATAAGCAGAAGCAGCACTCCATCACCTTCACCTTCATATGCACAAAAATATGAAGTCACCTCCAATAGCAGCCGAACTGAAGAAGGCCTATGGAATTCACGTCACTCCAAGCAGCTGCGAAACTTCTTGTATCGAGTCACCCATGGACAGCTACCTGGGGACCGGCACTCTTGATCTGGAAGACCTCCAACATCGAGCAGCTCCGACAACGTCGCTACGGTCCAGGATATCATCTTCACCGCAGTCGCCAAGGCGCGGGTTGATGGTATGGACCGGAAGTTTCTGGAATGGGCAGACCGATGTTGTCTTCGTGGACTCCGGAGAAAGCAAGCGCTGACTTCACATTCAAAAGCTTGAAGAGAATGTCCTGCCTTCATGTCGTCACCTGTACTATCTTGAAAACTTCGTGCTGCTGCAGGATTTTGTGTCAAAACATGGAATCGAAGGGGGTTGGAGAAACTCTTGCCTGCGACTCGGAGGACAGTTAAATGAACACTAACTCAGCTCTTCACCTGTAACCAGGTGCTACCTAGGCAAAAGTTGAGGAGTATTGTGCTAGTAGCCGACACGCGCCGCGCGGACGGCTACTAGCATAGACGGGAGTCTGCGCCGCAAAAGGCATTGGGCGGATCATGGAGGAATTAGCGTGTTTCACGAGTTTTACGGTCCTGTACCTCCATTCCTGCGCATGTTGAGACGGGGAACCGCTATGCTTCGACAGCTGAGGGGCTGATAGTCACGCACACCCAAACTATGTGTGATCGTACCATGTGCCTTTGAAAGAGTTGATTTCGGTTGACTGTGTGCTCATTTAGACTCTGCTGACTAGTATGGTTCGCTGGACCCAAAAGTTAACGTATGAGTTACTGGTGTTTCTTTGGAACTGCGCATCAATGAATACGCTTCACTCACGGATCAGAAGGAGTGAAGCGCACATTCTACTTCTCAATTCGCTCTTCGTCAAGGATATCATACTAGAAGGCCATGTTACCGAACAGTTCTGAGGAGGAGAGCCGTTATATAGCTGAAGCTGGTAGATTTTTCGTAAAGATTTGTGAGCTCAGGTGCCGTATTGAAAAAAAATCACCAAAAATGGCGGTAGCTCGCACGTTGTGAATACATCGATCTCAAAATAGAACTGAAGAAATGGTTATCCTGCCTTGTCAGAACCTAATGAGCTTATTGGAGTTCTGGATGCTACTAACTGTTCAAGGATTTAAAATTTTTCGTAAAGAGTAATGGGCAGGTAGAGGAATGTGGTGAGTGTTCTGAGCCTTCTTCTCAAATGCAAGATTCCTTGTGATTATACGGAAAACATCGAGGTTTCTTGGAACATTGAAGTGGAGCTCTCGCTTAATTCCGATGGTGTTCCCCAGTCTCATTAAAGAAGTTCTTCCATTGATCGCCAGTCCGCACCGATTCGTCTAAAATCTCCTCCGAGCAGAAGTTCCAGGTAGATGAAACATTCATATGTCAGCCCTAATCCAAAAAAGTGCTATTCTCTATCTTTACCCGATCAGTATTGCTCCCGCTTTTTGTGACACCTCTAAAAAAGTGCTACGGGAGCCATGACCAAGCGTCTGGAAAACACAACTCGTACCATGGTTTCAGGAGAGGCAGGTCAACGGTGGTTGAAATGTTTGAGTCAGAGCGACGGCTCTGAATGACAAGCAAGAAGTAGATGTATTTTGCGTTGACTTTCTGCAAAGCACTTGATAAGGTTAAATCAAGATTCCGATTCCGATCAAGAACATCAGCCAGCAATTCATCCAGAGTGACATATAGCACGTCTCTATGTTGAATAGAACGTCTCTATGTCTACGTCCTCTCTATGTTGAACTCCTGTGTCAGAATGACGAAAGACTGAAGCAAGTAGAGTGTACGCAAGCAACTGAATTCATCGCCTTGTGCTGCGCCTTTATCTTGTACAAAAATATTGTTCGCGAACATACAGCAGATATGCTTTGATAAGTATTTCACCAATCACTATAGGTCATATTAGCATATTATGACACCAGTCTGGCTGACGCGCATTACTGCGCGCACGGTTAAACCTATGGTACTGATAGCTGACAGGATTTCTGTGCTGAGCATTAACACAACGTAATTCCCATGTTTCGAAAACGGCCCATTTCGTCACGTTTCTCTCTTTTAATGAGCATTTGCCGATGTTTGGTGCTTATCATATTTCTAAAGGCTCCATTCATTCCATTCGTTCAAATTAGGACAGCATAGCGGTTGGAAGAATTTCGATGGGAAAAATATCGAAATCATGATGGTTCTTATCATTCCTCACTGGCTAACAACTCCAGACATCCTCTTTCCGGTGGAACTTGAGCGTGGTGGGGTGGAAGCGAATCCGACCGCTAAACTGAGGGATTTTGCCAAGGGATAGAAACATCTTGACTCACTAAGCCTTCGTCTTGATTGTTTGGCCACGGTGATGTGAGCATATACTGACTCCCAAAAGCCCTTGACACTGTCAGAATTTATCTCCCACCTTTAATGTTCCCTGAGCACCTTTGACTTACTTGCTAGAGAAGTTCCCTAGTGTGGCCATAACCACCACCTATCTTACTGCTTGTAACCAACGTCCCATCGTCGCTGTGACCGGTGCTACGAATTTGGCGACCCTTCCCTTCTTGGCTCCTGTTGTTATCTTATCAGCTGTTATCACGTCCTGCCACCCACCAATAATGTTCCCATCCTGCCCCTATCTTACTTCTTGGAACCAACGTCCCGTCGTTGCTGTGGCCGGCGCTATGAATTTAGTGGCCCTTCCCTTCTAAGGCTCCTTATGTTATCTTATCAGCCGTTATCACTTCCTGCCACCCACCAATGATGTTCCCATCTTGCCCATAATCCTACTTCTTGGAACCAAAGTCCTAGCGTCGCTGTGACGCGCGTTATGGAGATGGTGATCCTTCCCTTCTAAGGCTCCTCATGTTATCTTATCAACTGCTATCGCTTCCTGCCACCCACCAATAATGTTCCTGCCCGACCTCCTACATCATTATCAGTTTGAGCGCATTATCGCTGTTTTGAAGGAAGTTATGAATTTCCGGTCAAACACACACACACACACAGACAGACATTCACACACACACACACACACACACACACACCAACAGACAAACTTAGCGGATTATATATAGTAGGATATTATGACATGTATGAAATTTATGTTCAGTTTCCTTCATATCTGATGACCAAACGTTATAAGTGGCTAGCATGTTTTTGCTTCTGAGTTTATGAAGGATTTGTTAGATAATTTATGTATGTTTGCAATACAACAATGAGATCATGCCCGTTTCGTTGACGTGTCCTTAAAATTAGCTGTATACATCTTAAGTTTTATGTGGTTCAGTTTTATTTGTTTATTTGTGTATACGTCGGTCATCATGATTCAGAAAAAAGGTGGTGAGCTAGGAATACAACTGACAGTAAAAGACCTTGCTCAAAAAAGACCAGCCGAAAAAACTACATCAGACAGAGGGTAAGCAGCCGAGACAGTTTGAAAACAGGTGAATACCGACGCCTAGAGCATTATTGCCTCCTGTTAGCAAATATATTATTCGTACTGGAGGAGCAGGTGAATAAACATGACGATCTGCAAGATCATATCAAAGAAATGAAAAATGACAAAAGGTTATAAATGCATTCATGAATGGTAGAAACGGTAGTATAGTGTAGTTCATTGCGGACGGTTGGGCGTGTTCGTGCGGCTGCGTTTGGCGCGGTGCCAAACTCGTTCTCCACGAGTTGTTCAAGCGAGCAAATGACAATACTGTATCATACCTTTCGTATTACTTGTTTTCTACTGCTTTTTGTCGCATGCCCGTTTCAACAAGAAGGCAGAGAACAGCTCAAAGAGGGTGACACACTCATACTGGCTGACACGCCCAACCGTCCGCAGCGAAGTAGAGTGTATGGCCGTGACGACGTAATATTATGACAGCGACATTTTTCTGTAATCCTACAGAATTTCTGCTACTGAAGAATTATCATATGCTCGGAATTCTTCTTGGTTGAATCACCTTTTAATATATAACCTTTAGCTATTCACTGACTGAATCACCTTTCACTTATGTTTTGCCTTTCACATATGTTTTGCCATGAAGCCTCTTAATGAGATTTCTATATTAAAATCTATGCTATATAAGCAGCCTAAAATAATGAATAAACGGTTTCGAGCCAAACGTATCTCCCTTCAAGAAAACATGCGCTTTAGTGGACCATATTAGGACACTGTGAAGCTGACTAAGATCTCCTGATTTCAAAAAATTTCTGAAAAAATTTCTGAAAAAATATCTCCCTCAAGAAATGGCTACCCACGGCAGGAGGCTAGTCAACACCGTTTTCTACATACTACGCTTCTTCTGTATGAAGTCAGCAAAAGCGTCTCGGTACTTCGGAAACACTAGGGTGACTCTACTATACAGATCGGAACTTATCCTATTTCGTTTCGCTCAGTTGCAGTTTCCACCAACAGATGAAGAGAAGAAGAACCTCAACATCTCATGTGCGATTCAACTCTATTATGGAAATGCAAGGGACGTATCGATAACAGTGCACTATCAGAAGAAGCAATTACACCAATCTTCCTACCACGGCGAAGCCATATAACGAAACTTTTCGTTCTACGTCTCCATAACCCATAATCATTGTGGAGTTAACCATACCCTCACTATCGCCAGACAATCTGTATGGATCCCCAAAGGTCGCGCGACGGTGAAAAGGATTCTTCATAACTACTGTTTCCACTGCAAGAGATACAACGCGAAACCTTTCTCGCTCCCTCCCTTCCCTATCATCCGGAAAGAAGAGTAAATCCTCCCTCATATCCTTTCCAAAACACTGGCATGGACTTCTTTGGACCATTGCAGTACAGGAACAAGGACAACACAGTCGCCAAATACTGGATGATCCTCCTAACGTGCCTCAACTGTCGCGCAGTATACGTTGACGTCGTTATAGACATGACTGCTAAAACGGTTCTACACGCCCTACGTCGCTTCATCGCAACAATCGGCTGTCCAACATGGATTTTATGCGACATGCGCAGTCTTTCAAAACAATCGATCAGTGCTACACTTCTGTGCCAAATCAAGAAGTAGACACGGACGTCTTCGACTACTGCGCCAACAAAAGAATTCAGATGAAATTCATCCCCAGTCTGAGTCCCTGGCAAGGAGGAGTTTACGAAAAAATGGTTGACATCTTCAAAAAGTCGTTCAAGCACGCAATTTCCAACAGACTCTGGATATAGAGGACATCAAGACGATAGCCAAAGAAACCGAAGCTATCGTTCACGCGACCTCTCACCTACTACACTGACGAGATCTCCTACCTTCCTCTAAGACCAATCGATTTCCTGAGACCGCGAGCTCTACTCAGTGGACCTCATCCATCACAACAGGACGACGAATGGTTGCCTTCCCACAGCACACACGACACTCTTCTTGCAGACTGGAACAGAACATCGACACTGGTAACCACCTTCTGGAAACGCTGGACGCAAGAGTATTCTAACAACATTACGCGAGCAGTATCGAAAGGAGCACAAAACACCCAGATCTCACGAAGACGAAGCCTCTTCAGCAGGTGCTCATACACGATCCAGTACTTCAACGTGGACAATGGAAAATGGGAAAAGTTGTAGGATCTCAAGACAACTTCAGAAGATCCGCAGAAGTTCAGCTTCCCAACAAGAAGGTCATTACGAGACCTCATAATCTTCTTTTCAGAATGGAAGTTTCTCGGGAACCCACACCAGTCACCACTTCCGAACCAGACTCAGCAAGAAGAAACTCACTGCATCCAATGATCACGAGATCAAAGACACGACTCCTGAATAACGCCTTTCTTCTTTGCTGCATGATCGTGATGACATCAGTATCCTGTTCAGTCAATACGCGTTGCCCGGAAGAAATCAACACCAACAGGACAATCCTTTTCACTACGGAGTGTACTGAGAAGGGAATCGCAGTAGCACGATATAACAAGAACGGCAGAGATGCTTTCTGCTAGTTTCCAGACGCGTGCCTCTAAGATTTCATAGCTCTAAGAAGAGTTCAACACTTTGTGGAAAAAAATGCAAATGCTCAGAGTGGACGACCTTGTGTTCCTTTTCTAGCAGCTCTAGAACAGCCCTTCAGAAATAGAATCAATACCACCCATGATACGAAACTACGAACCCGCTCACGTGTGCTCGTTCAACTTCACCCCTTCGTGCGACTCGCGGAAGAAATAGGACTGTTCAATCAAATACAGCTTTTCGACAACAGTCTACTACTAGTAGAGGAGCTCACCATCACCATCAAGGACTACGTCGACGAAAACGATTTCGTATGCATCGATCGGAAAGGTTGGAAAAGAAGAATTGCAAGGCGTTCGACGGGCACGTCTGCTTTCTGTCAGAAGCATGCTTGCCGACCCAATGCGCAGGTGTTTTGTATGTATGACAACGCTCTCGCGCTATTAGTCATAAATGACACCATGCCAAGAAACGTCATACCCGTGAAAGCGTGGGGAACAATCACCAAAACATACTACGGATTTCCAAAAGTTCCCAAAGTTGCGCTTCCATCGAACTCAGAAAAGAGAAGCGTTTTCGGATCACGAGAAAGTGCAGAATCGACCACAAATTCAAATACGGCACCGATTTCGACGCAATGCATTGAAGGAGGAATTCTCGTAAACAGCAGTTTCCACAATGATATAACCGAGATATGCATTGGACAATACTGCACTTTCCTCCAGAAGATCACTTCCCAGGAAGTAATATTCCCGAACTCCCTCATATCGTACAACTACGACGTCTCTGTCAGAACATGGAACAAGGGGAAAATCACCGAGGAAGTCGTAATCTCCTGCAAAGCGCACCCAATATGTGAAACGTTACATTGTTTCCTCTGCTGGGAACACCTATACAACACACAGTGCTGGACCATTCTTCAGATAATCAGTACAGCACTTCTCGTCTTCTTCGCTTTCCTTCTCCTTCCGTCACTCTACTTCCTCATGAAAGCCACAGTGCCACTCATCAGGCTCCTAATGTTCATCACCGCAAAAATCAATCCTCTGAGATTTCTTCGCGGATCGCCTCGGATACAACGGAGCCAGCTTCGCGCCTACATCAGTCGTAGAAGACGCAACCACAATCGCAGATATCTCGCAAGTCTCATGGCGATCTTACTCAGTTCTTCAGTCCGCTGAAGGGTGCTCGGAAGTTTCAACACTTACGGCTCATGAAACGGTATGCCTCACCACTGAAGACACAGAAACCTGTACATTCAACGAAGCTACCCTCATCACCTTGCAACCGCTTCAACAGGAAAGCTGCTTAACGTTGAGGGATAAACTTGACAACCCTATTGGAATCATCTCCATCAAAGTGAATGGAATTGACTTCCAATGTCCAAGCTGCTCTCTGAGTCAGTTCATTGCTGTTACCATGCCGGCAGCTGTATCCCAAATGCCTGTGATAGCACAACGCCATCGGACAAAATCAAAGAATTCTCAGACACTGCGAACAATAGTCCAGGATATTCTTTCTGCTCTAGGAGCTGTGGATGCCTTTTTTGCGATGGATGCTTTTTCTGCACTCCAAGCTGTTTGTTCCATCGACTTTACGCGGTACCAACGAGCCATACTATCTACACTGTCTTTACGTGCCCAAGCTGGGAAATCGTCATCAGCGTCGACATTGTACTACAACAACAAGGTTCAACATCAAGTGCCACGCTGGAACTCCAACCAGGACGCACAGCATCGTGGAACAACATCCGCCTCAGTCTCATCGGTAACATCGTCCCTCAATTACCGATACTGTCATCAACCTTCATGGAAACAGGAACTGACATTTCAATAGTGAAACCAGTTCATAAAGGGAAACTCGAACCTCACAGTGCAGGGCAACTACAATGTCCTCACGAGAAGAGCGGTAGGAATTCTAATGTATCTTTCCTAGCAACGCATGCACATGCACAAAAGGCCTCCAGAAAGTATCCTGCACATGTAGCCCAGGAGATATGGAAGCCCTCATGCAAGCATCTCCTCTGCCGCAGTCGTCGAAAAATTTCATGATCTACTCACGTCACAACGCCATACTAGCAAAGACCAATGTCGGAAGCGCCATCCAACTCCACTTCGTAGCGGAAGATCTGAAAATTACCTCTCGTCAGTCCAACAGTTCCTGCGAAGTTGAAACGAGTGACATTACAGGTTGCTACAACTGCTTAGCCGGCGCCGAACTCACACTGTCATGTCGCAGCTCTCATGAGGAAGTGACCGCCAGCATTATTTGCCCGACACAGACGCAAATCGCAAAGATGCACAAGAAACGGGACACTTGAATCAAATAAAGCTTCACTTCACTACTTCGACCATATCAACAGAATGCATCGTTTCCTGCCCTGGAGGGACGACAACTATCAACGTCAGAGGATCGCTCCAGTTCGTCAACGACGGTCTAATCAAGGGCGACGTACAATCGAAAATTAGTTGTCAAGGAACCAACCACCGATACATCCTTTTTAGGTTCTGTCTTAGGCACTATTGGTGAAACATTTTCTGGAATGATTCCCGATTTTCTTTGAGTGCTGCATTGTTAAAATTTGTTACCCCTCTTCTGGGATTGGTACTTCTTATCCTCTGCATCTATAGAACATTTCTATTCTTTGTTCGAAAATCCCTCTCAATCAAAAAGAGCCACTGACAAGTTCTTGCCCTGGGAGTTTCTGTAATCCTACAGAATTTCTGCTACTGAAGAATTATCATATGCTCGGAATTCTTCTTGGTTGAATCACCTTTTAATATATAACCTTTAGCTATTCACTGACTGAATCACCTTTCACTTATGTTTTGCCTTTCACATATGTTTTGCCATGAAGCCTCTTAATGAGATTTCTATATTAAAATCTATGCTATATAAGCAGCCTAAAATAATGAATAAACGGTTTCGAGCCAAACGTATCTCCCCTCAAGAAAACATGCGCTTTGGTGGACCATATTAGGACACTGTGAAGCTGACTAAGAACTCCTGATTTCAAAAAATTTCTGCTGCATCCCTTTTCAGTGTAGATCAACTCTATGAACCAACTTCTGAACGCCGGGTTTAAGCGTCATTCATGACAAGGAATGTAAGGATCGCCGCTCGTAATGCCGACAGTACGGGCAAATGAAATATATCTGCGAGTTTTGGATTAATACTGCCAGATATTACTTTATATGGAAGGGCTAGATTAGCAACCCTTCTACCTTGCTCTAGAGTTGAAGTTCCGAATGGATTTGAGCATTCTTCGTGGGACAGTTCGAAATATCCCTTTTTCTGTACACAATCCGGTGTGTAAACCGCTTCCTAACCATCCGGATTTTCTCAATAAGACAAGCTTCATGGGGGAGCACACTGAGTACTTGAGATAATTCTTAAGTAGCCTGATATAGACGACGAGTAACCGGGGACTAATATTATTGCGCATGGCAAAGCTCTCAAGATGGAGCCTGGTCTAACTAGCTAGCTTTAGCAACATGTCTAAAGTAAAGCACCCAGAATCAAATTCATTGTAACTATAATAATACCAAAGCCAGCACTTGTTTTGACCACACAAGAGCGGGCTTGGCGTACATGAAGGCGAAAACATCTCGAGGAAGCACACTAGGCAAATCTCATTGACGAAAATGAGAAACACCAAAAGCAGTTGCAGCTCGGAGAAGATCTAGCATATTCTATAGTGAACGAACCGATATTTGCTGTTTAGGAAAGAACGGGTAAAGCGTGGCCGATATCACTGACAATGAGGCCTAAGTTCTAGCTCTACTCATGAGACAGGAAATCGAGATCCAGTCGAAGGCTTTCCAAAGAGATTGAAGTTATACAATTGTCGCAGTCCAACTTTCAATTGAGCGGCGTAGAAGTGGCACGCTCATCGAGAAAACATGCCAAGTAATTGGTTTTCCTTCAGGTAGGGGTAATGCAGCATTAAACTAGTGTTTCCAAGATCTTACTGGTGCTACAAGCCCAAAAAACTGCGAATTCCTGATAGATTACAAAGGCTTCCTGCGAGTAAGGCGCCCATATCGGATTCTACACATTTTGGGAGTCTCGATATGCAGCGACAAATTATAAAAAATAAAGCTAGAAAGGCAGCCAGTCCAAGGGTAGCTTGTTTGAGGAAAGATGAATGAAATGCAGCCGTGCAAAGCAGAGTTCCTATTCGGGAATTCTTCGGGCATTCTATACACAACATCGATGGCAATGTGAGCCCGAAAAAGACTAATCAGCAGAGCTAGAAAGGGCTGTTACGGCATACCGCTCCTTGTAGGCACGAGAATTATTTCCAAAGAGAGATCCATTCGTTGTTCTCGCTAGCAAGGGTATAAGGCATTTCTCCGAGGTTTGTAGCTTTTTTTTACAACATTTATGGGAAATGTTCAAAGTTTCTGTTCTTCGACAATATTTCCTCCACAACAAATTAAGCGGAACGTTTTGTAACTGAGCTCTTGAGCATATTCTAAAGTGAGGTCGTCCAGATTGCATTGTTCTCGCATAATGATGAACAACTTTCTTCCAGTGCCTACTCTCTCAGGAATGTGACCGTGTGCTCATTTTTGAATCACGAATATGCTACGTGCATTTGCATTGGTGACTGACAGATGGCGACAAATTGAGAGTGTGTCCTGCCTGCCATACAAATGTTGATAAGAGACACCCAATCAATGCTAGACATTTGTTAAATTGCACTGTCAAAGTCAGCCTTAAGCCTTGACTAAATTTCGGCGAGACAAGGTAGTCATAAAGAATACATAAGGAAGGAATAGTCTATGCTGAAACAACAGTGGTCAGAGGTACTGAAGGGAGGTAATATTGATGTTGGAATGTAACCATGCTAGTACCAGAGGTTAAAGCGATGCCAAAGCAACTGTTTTTATTCATGCGTGGGGTCATTGAATGAAGAGTGATGTGACAAAGTAGGGGGAATGACATGAAGGCGAAGCGCGCAAGTCACCTCGATGATCTAACGAGCTTCATTTTCAAGAGCCCGATAACGAAATTTCTCTTCCGCTATAAAATAAGAAATCAAATAAAAACAAGAAGTTTGCAGAAAGCACACTCTTAAATAAGGAACGGCAAGTATAGCGCGGCTATCAGTCGCGCGGATTCAGAGGGATGTGGAGAGCCCATCTGCGGCGTCCCCCCTGTTCTTTTTCCCTGAATCGATCGAAGCGGGCTCAACCCCTACCGACCTAAGTTTTGCTAAGAAACTGCGTTGGTTTCAGTGATTTTGCGAATCGAAGAACGCGCTTTGAAAAGTACCCTTCATTAATCCAACCGGATAACCAGCACTTGACGCACCAGCACACGACTTCGAATTTAGTGTGAGCGTAACTGCATCTTAGCGAGGCAGTGAGGGCTCTTAGTCATCGATCAATTGGTCCTGCCCAAAAACTTGAGAAAGAGTCTCAGATGCAGGTACAGATGATCGAACGAGAACACGGCCATAAGAGAAGCCCGAACAGTACTTTTGCACTCGCAGGGCGCTGGAAGGGATGGATACACTGCGACTATGTATGAACGACGTGATCACCACGAATAATTGACGTGGGCTCCGAGTTTGCAAATTTCTAGATATCTGGAGGCGGCACAATTTATCCCTTCTCATGAATGATACTCTCGCCTTATACATGAACAATGCACATGTAAATTTCTTGGTCATTGTGGAGCGTCCACTACTCAAGAATATAATGTCATGTTATGTATTATGACCCGGTCTCATACTTTGGAATTTTGACGGACCCTCTGACTCTTGGATCGGTCTGTCAGTATTCGATACGATCTTGTAGCGATCTTGTAATAGGATGCGGATTCTGCATGACCTTATCACTGTAATAACAGCGCTGTATTTCCACAACACTAGTATCTGTAGCTGAGGAAGGTAATGGGTTTCCCGAACATCCACTCTGGGTGGGATCCAAGAAGCATTGCAGTCGTTACGGATGCCTCATGATGCTGCGCTCCGATTCATACGTGGAGTGATTCCTCATAGAAGGATTCAAAGCCGAGGAAGAATCTTATTATACAGCCAGCCGGCTTTCAAAAAGTAACGGACTGCTTCTCCTGAGCGGAATATTGAAGAAGTCACGAAAAAGCCGAAGGAGTGCAGCTGGATTGTTTGGCTCAGGGCTATTCGTCTATGCCGTTGTACAATTCAGCGGATTTCGATGGTACTACACGCTAAGCGTGCACACCTTCGATGCTTTCGGTTGCCAGGAGGCACGCTACTTGTGTGACTTGCTGAACAAACGAATGGTAAGCCTTGAGAAAAGTCCGTACACATGTTTCTCGTGAACTTTTTGGAAAAACGCTGACGCATCGCTGGCAGTGACTTCTACCCCTTCGCTCTGATTACGAAGTCATATGAGCCGAACCTCCTACGGTCGCGTATGGAGATGGCACGGTGTTTATACAAAATGCTAATGCGAATGCTTTTAGACTTCTATGCAACAGTGTTCCATCATTCTAAAGCTGTGAGCGTTCAAAAGAATGAATGAGCCAAGGTAACTCGTTACTTCAAGTGACCGAACCTTTTTAATGTTTCCGCAAGTACTATCGTTTGAAATTTTGGTTTCGCCACTATTCTTTTTGGTTGTATTTTTCCCTACGAGCGTCCTTTCTCGCTGAGCTCTACCTTCTGCTATATTTTGCGCAGCTCGGCTGCTCAAATTCACTGTTGCAAAAAGCCTTTCACTCCTCCATTATGGTGTTTCTTGCTGACTCTAAGCTTTCTCGCCTTTGTGAGTAGGAAGTTCCTGCGGTCTCTCGGATAAGGGTCCTTTTCTTTGCTTCCTCGGCTTCTACGGCTAAGTGCTCTGTAGAATGACTTTAAGCTTGTTTAGGATCTCGCTTTTGTTCGATCGCTAGTTAGTGTTTTGTTTGGGCCTATAGCCTCTCATCAGATTATCATACGGACATGGTACGACATGGAGCGAAGAGGAGTAACGATGATTTCGCCGATAGCGTTTGAATTCATCGTGTTCGAACTCAATTTTTGAAGAGTGATGGTCTGTTCGTACGAGCGGAATCATGATCTCTAAAGTGGCAAGGAGCGAAACATGGGGTCATACTGCTCTTGAGATATGGAACAAATTCGCTTCAAAAGCAATCTTTTCAAGTCAAAATCCATTTCGGCAATACGAAGAGAAAAGTCATGGCGCAGGAACTGGTTAGAAAGAAGAGAGTTGAAATGTCCATCATAATAATGTGTAATTCCCTTACGCTATGTCCTTAGATGCGTGAAAAAGTAAAGGAAATGAAAAGGGTGCATGAATTGAAAAAATGCTCGAAGAAGAGCGCAAG